TGAGTCTAATTTGAAAACTGTTAAAATGTAGTGATAAGGACACGGATAGTCATTATACTATTCTATAGCTGTTCCTTTAAATTCTCATGATTTTAAAAATTATTTACTTTATACAATACAAGAATAAATGGGATGTGTTTGTGCTCTGGGGAGTGAATGTGGATTTAAACTATATAGAACAGAAAAGACTTCTATGTAACCCTCCAAAGGAGACAGATATAATAGGCCCATTAACTATAAAAATCCTGTATGAGGGGCATCTGGCTGACCATCAGTAGAGCATGTGACTCTTGATCTTGGGGTAGTGAGTTCAAGCCCCATGTTGGGCTTACAGCTTACTTGTAAAAAAAAGAAAGAAAAAAGAAAAACAACTCACATGAAAGAAGGAATGCATTAGGCAAGTTGGAAACATAAAAAAGGAAGTATTTCAGAGAACCAAGGAAATCATATGCAAGGAGAAATGTTAACAGAACAGAAGAATTGGGGGAGGAGGATGATCAGCAAACAAATGGTAGGATAATCTACTTCTCTAGCCAAAAAAAAAAAAAAAAGAGAGAGAGAGAGATTTCTTGAGTAGTTATTGTATACTAAGACCTGCTGTTAGGTATTTTACATCACTGTCTCACATAATCCCCACAGCAAATTTGTAATGTAGATGTTATTAAGATGAGGAAATGAAATGAAACCTCACAATTAACCATGTAGATAATAAATGGCAGAAGCAAGATTCAAAGCTTCTTGCTCAAGTTTAATCTTCACACTATAAAATAATGCTACTTCTAAGGAGCTACATGAAACATACAACATAATAAATAACTTCACTTGAAACACTCAGATTAGGAAAAGTAGATGGAAAACACAATCACAGAAGGGAGAGAGATAAAAAAAATCAATTTAATTTTGTCATGTAAGTATTTTCAGATTGTTACTGTAGTTAAGAGAAGGTGCATAGGAAAGGTATGTAACCAAACTGGGGACTAAAGCAAGAGTTATCCAGGCAAGATGAGAAAAATGTTTCCTGAGAGAAAAGAACTACACTCATATCTACTGAGGGTCTGTTCTACACCAAGAGCCAAGTATACAGACAAAATTAAAACAAACCTTCCATTCATGGAGCATACAGTTTAGGACACAGACACTCAAAGAATGACATAAAATGTAATTAACAGATTGAAAAGTGGTGTGAAGGATAATTACAGACTGTTATGACTGCAACTAAAAGGGGACCTACCTAGGGACAGTGGACCAATCAGAGACAGCTTCCCTGGGGAAGTGACATTCAAGCTAAGCTGAAAGATGAACATGCATTTACTAGGTTTATGGTGGTTAGAGATGACAATCCAAGCAATGGGAACAGCATAGACAGAGGCCTTGAGAGGGGAGAGAACAGAGTTGAGAACTAAAAGAAAGCCAGTGTGGCTACAGTCCAGGCACAAACAAGACTGGAAAAGTAGGCAAGCTAAATCACAAATGGTCTTTAAATCTACATTAAGGGATCCCTGGGTGGCGCAGCGGTTTGGCGCCTGCCTCTGGCCCAGGGCGCGATCCTGGAGACCCGGGATCGAGTCCCACGTCGGGCTCCTGGTGCATGGAGCCTGCTTCTCCCTCTGCCTGTGTCTCTGCCTCTCTCTCTCTCTCTGTATGACTATCGTAAATAAATAAAAAAATTAAAAAAAAAAAATAAATAAATCTACATTAAATATTCTGGAGTTTGTCCCAAGAGCAAAAGGAATCCAGTGGAGACTTTTTTTTTAAGATTTTATTTATTTATTCATAGAGACACAGAGAGAGAGAGAGAGAGGGGAAGAGGCACAGGCAGAGGGAGAAGCAGGCTCCATGCAGGGAGCCTGACGTGGGACTCGATCTAGGGTCCCCAGGATCAAACCCCAGGCTGCAGGCAGCACTAAACTGCTGCGCCACCGGGGCTGCCCTCCAGTGGAGATTTTTGATCAAGGGAGTAATAAAATAAGAACTACGTTTTGAAAATATCTATTCTCAGGGTTCTGAACCTCAAGTCCACAGATACCAAAGAGTTGATGCCTAGAATGAAGGAGTTCATGAACTTGTGTACTTGTGAGGGAGAAAAATCTTTTATTTTTTACTAATTTCTAATTCAAATTTGGCCCTTTTTTTTTGAAATTTAGCCTTTTAATTGTGAATATCAGTACTTGACTCTGTCATCAATATAAATTTAAAATATGTTCATATCGTCTTATACTTATTGTAAAACTCTCAAAATAATGGTTTTGTCCCTCATAACATCGTTACTCTAAAGTTATGGAAATTTTGTACCCTGCAATCCAGCAATCGCACTATAGGTGTCTATCCAAAGAAACAAAAGTACAAATTCAAAGGGATACATGCGTTCCTGATGTTTATAGTAACATTATCTACAATAGCCAAATTATGGAAACAGCCCAAGGGTCCACTGATTGATGAGTGGATAAAGAAGATTGGTGTATACATATATACACTAAATCTTGCCACTTGCAACAACGTGGATGGAGTTAGAGAGTATTATGCTAAGCAAAATAAGTCAGTCAGAGAAAGACAAATACTATGATTTCAGTCATATGTGGAACTTAAGACACAAAACAAATGAATAAAGGGAGGAAAAAAGGCAAGCCAAGAAACAAACTCTAAACTATAGAAAAAAACTGGTAGTTACAAAAGGGAGGTGGGCAGGTAATGGGTAAAATAAGTGATGGGGATGAAGGAGCATACTTGTTGTGATAAGAACTGGGTGATGTAAGGAACTGTTGAATCACTATATGGCACACCTGAAACTAATATAACACTGTATGTTAACTAACTGGAATTCATTCATTCATTCATTCATTCATTCATTCATTTATTTATGAACTAACTGGAATTTAAAGAAAAACTTAATAAATTAGTAGAATCCATTAAATGTGAAAAAAATTTAATTAAATAAAATTATGTAAGTTTTGGAAGCATTGCTGGATCTTGTTATTTAATGCATTAATGATGATGTACATATATTGAATACCACAAGTTTTTCTTTTTCTTTTTCTTTTTTTTTAAGATTTTATTTATTCATTAGAGACGCACGGGGGGGGGGGGGGACACAGGCAGAGGGAGAAGCAGGCTCCACTCAGGAGCCCAATGTGGGACTCGATCCTGGGACTCCAGGACCACACCCTGAGCCAAAGGTAGGCACCAAACCACTAAGCCACCCAGGAATCCCCAAGTTTTTCTAAATAATATTTTTATAACCATATTATTTTCCTTTGTAGTTACACATTTTAAAATGATATTCTTGGAAGGAGTCCATACTACAGTAGAAAAGACTAAAATGATAGGAAGGATTTTAATATGCTAAGCATGGTTTTCACTGAATAATGGATAGCATTAAAAATATTTATTTTTTCCTTACCACTTTCCTAAATATTTCCCTATTTTTTAAAATGACTATCAGAAAAAAGTAAGCATAATTTTAGTTATTTTTGGAAAAATTTTAATGACATGAGAAATGTTTATGTTTTTTTAAAAATTTATTTATTTATTTTTAGATAGAGCATGAGCAGGGGGAGGGGCAGAGGGAGAAGAAGAGAGGAGAATCTCAAGCAGACACCCCACTGAGTGTAGAGCCCAATGCAGGGCTCAATCCTAGGACCCTGGGATCGTGACCTGAGTAGAAATCAAGAGTTGGCAACTTAACCAACTGAGCCACCTAGGTGCCCCTATGGTATGTTTTAAAGTGAAAAAGTATATAAAATTGTACATACAGTATGATCTCATCCACATATAAATCTACAGTGAAATTATGGGTGATTTCTTTAAAGTTAGATTTTTCATGTTTTCTACAGCAACCATATATTAATTTTATAAATTCCATTATTTTTAAAGGGCACAAATAGATGGATTAGTTTTGACAGAAGAAGGATACTTTAAGATTTAATATGAGAAGTTAGAACAAAAGATTGAGATGGATAGAGTTTGTTGGTGAGGAACTCGATGGTCTCAGCAAAGCAGGAGGTAAGACCATTTATAACAAGCAAAGGGGTTGGTTAGGATCAGCAATACTAGAATAAAGGTGAAGGTTTGGAACAGTCCTATTGGGACACAGAGAACTGTCAGGTAGCACACAGGGCTCAGCCAAGGATCTTTAGGGACAAAAAGAAAATAGTATGGATTAGTATTGTTTTCAAAGTCTGTAACTCATTTGTGGACTTTCTTAAAAATGTCAGGTCCCTCTCCCAGTATGATTCAGTTTGTCTATGCAGACGTGCCCAGTAATCTGCACTTTTTACAGGAGAAAGTGTCATAGGTGAGCCCAGATCAGGTTTTGTGACTGGTTTAGAGTCTGGCCAGAAAACAAAGGACAAAATCTATTGACATAGAAGATTTCTTTAAGTTCTCTACATTCCCATCATTCCAACTTACACAGGGAGTTTATAGGTGTTATGATTTTTGTTGATTGTTTGTTTTATTTCAAAATTTCAGGAGAATAAAATCAGCTTAAAAAGATAAGTAAGAGGGGTGCCTGGGTGGCTCAGTCAACTGAGCATCTGATTCTTGATTTTTTTTTTAAAGATTTTATTTATTAATGAAAGAGAGAGATAGAGAGAGAGTGGCAGAGACACAGGCAGAGGGAGAAGCAGGTTCCATGCAGGGAGCCTGACATGGGACTCGATCCCGGGTCTCCAGGATCACGCCCTGGGCTGAAGGTGGTGCTAAACCTCTGAGTCACCAGGGCTGCCCCTGATTCCTGATTTTGGCTCGAGTCGTGATAGGGTTGTCAAGCCCCAAGATGGGCGCCACACTTAGTGGTGAGTCTGCTTAAAACTCTCTCTCTCCCTTTCCCCTCCCTGCCATACACATACTCTCTAAAATAAATAAACAAATCTAAAAAATAAAAAAAAAAAGATAAAAGAAAGACAAGTAAGAAAAAAAGTACCAAAGATAAGACACATTAACGGTGAAAAAATATACTATTATTTGTATTATAGAATTCTGGGCCAAACTTATCACCTTACCTTTAGCAGGAGAGCAAAATTACTCTGCAGAGAATGAGTCACACCACTTTCATACAATTTTTTACGCATGTGGTTTTCACCCACATTCGCACCACCAGATTGATACCTTAATAATGACTTAAGCATGGTTTCAAAAGGGTCCGCTGAAACAGACAAATTAAACATTTCTGAGTCAAAGTAATCACTCAGAAAAAACACAAAACAATAACAGAAACTCTAGCAGAAAAACAAAGAGACCAGGAGGTAAGGGACTGCAGCTTAGAGCATGCCAACTTTTTTCCCAACTCCCCTCATTATCTTTCCTATATATGAACAGTTCAAGAGGCAATAAAAATTGGCAAGAATACAATATCCTGACTTGGAATTCTACTATAAATCACTAATACTTACATAAATTTTCTACCTACATGACAATATCTTTGACTTTATAAAAAGCTCATTCCATGGATTTTAAAGCAAAATTGTCGTCTGTATGTAATGGTCAAGTATTACAATTAAAATTATTTAGCTAAGTCCAGAAATTTTTTCTTTTTCATTCATTTTTAAATGTTTCTTTAATGACTAAATTGTTTTCATACAAAAAATACGTTGTCATTATAAACAATTAAAACAACAGTAAAATACAGAGAAGATAAAATTCATCTAAATTTCACCACAGAGATACCATTAAATATTTTCAAGATGTTTTTTTATTGCTGTTACCTTACTTAACAGAGAGAAACAGACAAAAAATATGTCAGATTTTGCAAAGAATACAATTCTTTCTTTCAGAGCACCTTACCCAGTTCATTAGTGTGATCATTTAAATAATGGTAACTAGTTTCCCCTATTCCTTAGTATTACACTGTAAACTCCACAGAAGCAGAAGCTGTGTCTGATTTTATTCATCTTTGTACTTCCTGACAGAGCCATCCTTCCACATTGTGGAAAATTTAGTGATTAAGAGCATGAACTTAGGCCAGACTCTACCTTCAAAGTTCTAGCTCCACCACTAATTAGTTATACAACCTTGGGCCAATGACTTACCCTCTTTGTACCTCAGTTTTCTCAATATCTATTTCATAAGGTTGTTCTAAGGATTAAATGAGTTAAATTTGTAAATGGCTTATAACAATGTTGGCATAGAATAGGCTATACCAGATACTTGATAAATAAATCTCTGTTATATTAAGGCCTGAATGTATTCTTTCATTCAGCCATTGAAAACATTTAAGTTTGCTTCAAATTCTCATTGCAAATAACATTAATATGTCTTTTCTCATTTATATGAATATCAATTTATGGTAAGTTCCTTATGACATTACTGCTGAGTCAAAGATCCTGTCAACTCTCTCTCCCAAGTTTGTAAAATTTTTATATAGACAGATTTCTTGTCTTGTGCTTGATGGCTCCTAGATCTCATCTTATGGTAAGAAAATGTTTTATTAACACCCACCCACCCCCAATTTATACTTAAACACATTTTCTTCTAATATTTTTATGACTTTAAATTTTAATTATTTGGAATTTATTTTGATATAAAGAGTAAGGCAGGGATGATTATTTATTTTTTCCAAATGGCTAACCAGTTTTCCAAAACCATGTATTACCTTTCTTCTTATCATAAAATGATTCCTTTATTATGTATACTTAGCTTGCCTACTGGATTATCTCCTCTATTCCATCAATCTGCTTAATCTTATTACAGTACAGATTCTTTAATCTGTTTATAGCACATTGCTCTACCCAAGCAAGTGTTCCCCTCATAAATATTCTTTTCCAGATGTTTCCTGACTGATCAAGTACCTTTACTAGTCCAGATGGACGCTGGAACTATTTTTTCCCAAAAACTCCTGTTGGAATTTACATTGGGATTCTATTGTATATACCAATAAATTAAAGGAAAAAATAATCATTTTACAACATTGTGCCTCAAAGGTACAATAATAGTTGTAATAATTACAAAGATCTTAGCATAATGCCTGGCACATAATAAAAAGCATTCAATAAATGTTAGCTATTCTTACAGCCATGAACAATGTATGGCTCTTCACTTATAGATATTTATTCTTAAAAGATAAAGATCAGCTAATGAGAAAAATAATTAAACTTACATGTCTTATTGGGGTTAATATGTTGCTTCAGTACTTCAACGGTGCCCAAACTAACCACAAGGCGTCTGCCAAACCAGAAAGAGACGACAGGCCCGTATCTCTCATGCAAATTAACCAGGAACTCATGCAAGCTTCCACTGTTCACAATGTCTGGAAGATTACCATCTCTGAGAAAAGAGCAACATTTGACAAGATAACTTGGAAAAATAAGAAATTTAACTTGGAAGAATGAGAAAAACAATTCAGCTGATTCTGAATTAACTGTGTCAACAGATGAGAGCAGAGGTGCATGAAATGCAAATTACTGCAAAATCCCAAGCTTAATTAAACTTGACTTCTCATTTTCTTTGGAGTCATATTTAGACATGGATTTGTCTGATATTTTGAGAATTTATGACAGTTCAAGCCAAGTAAAATAGATATACAAGGAACATCTGACTTAGACAATGGAAAACGATCCAATTTTTGCAACATCTCATTCTGAGAAACCAATGAATATCATCAGAGGTTGATTTAAATGACCAGATCAGCATTCTTTTCTTCTTTCCTTCTATCTTATCTTCCTATTTTTTAACCACTTTCCCCGGTTAGAGAAAATGAAAACAATCTTCTTTAAGATTTGTGTGTGTTTTAACCTTTTAATTATTTTTTAAAAGATTTTAAAAATTTATTTATTTGATATATATATATATATACACATATATATATATATATAGAGAGAGAGAGAGAGCACAAGCACGGAGAGCAGTAGGCAGAGGGAGAAGGAAAAGCAGGCTTCCTGCCAAGCAAGGAGCCTGACGTGCGGCTCTATCCCAGGACCCTGGGATCATGACTTAAGCCAAACGCAGATGCTTAACTGACTGAGCCACCCAGGCACCCCTATTTATTTTTAAAAGTAATTTCTACACCCAATGTGGGGATCAAACTCACGACCCCAAGATCAAGAGTCATGTTCTGATGACTGAACCAGCCAGACACCCCAAAAGCAATTAAAGTTTTTGATTTATACAGCCCTTCTTTCTGTTCTTAACAAAGTTCAGGCTGTATGTCCAGAGATAAACTTAGAGTAAACAAAGTCATTAAATAAACGGAGTAATCTAAAAATAGATTTTTGTTTTGATACCAAAAATTAAGAGTTAATTCCACTGAATTCCCAAAACAATTACTCACTTTTCTTCAGTTGGAGTAATCCCCGGAATTCCTGCAGCTTGTCTGGAAGCCTTAAGGAGAAATTTAAAAATAGTTTAGTATAATGATTTAGTATATAATACATAATTTAGTATTTAACATATAATCATATATCCCATAAGTCAGATATTTTGCCAAGACATCTGTAGGACCTTAAGTGATGACTTTCCAATTTGGTTGAATCTCAAGAAATTTTTTTTTTAAAGATTTTATTTGTTTATTCATGAGAGACACACACAGAGAGAGAGAGAGGTAGAGACACAGGCAGAGGAAGAAGCAGGCTCTTCAAGGAGAGCCCGATGCAGGACTTGATCTCAGGACTCCAGGATCATACCCTGAGCTGAAGGCAGACACTCAACCGCTGAGCCACTCAGGCATCCCTCAAGAATTCTTTCTATATTAAAATACAAAAAACTGGATTTGTTGTACTTAAAAGAATAATCTTAATATTCTTCCTGTGTCAATGACATTAACAAGTTTGAAAAAATTAACATCCATTCTACATCAACTAATACATAGTTAAGAACTTTTTTAAAAAATTAACTACTTTTTTTTTAAAGATTTTTTATTTATTCATTCATGAGAGACACACACACACACAGAGAGAGAGAGAGAGAGAGAGAGAGAGAGAGAGAGAGAGAGAGGGGCAGAGACAGGCAGAGGGAGAAGCAAGTTCCATGCAGGGAGCCCGATGTGAGACTCGATCCCAGGTCTCCAGGATCATGCCCTGGGTCGGAGGCAGCATTAAACCACTGAGCCACCCGGGCTGCCCTAAAATTAAGTACTTTTTAAAATTGTTTTACTGAGTCTATGTATGATCCCATCTGTCTTAGTTAAAAAAAAAAAAATCAATGTCAGGTTTACATTGTCTACTGGACTATCTCCTCCATTCTATCAATCTGCCTAGTCTCATCACAGTACAGGTTCTTTAAATTAATCTAGATTTATAGCACATTGCTTTACCTGAGCAAGTGTTCCCCTCATTAATATTAATTCCAAAAAATAATAATAATAATAATTCCAGTATAGTCAACATATAGTGTTATATTAGGTGTACAACATAGTGATTCAACATATTTTTTAAATTTTATTTATTTTGTGAGAGAGAAAGAGAGTGTGTGCATGCATGCAGTAGGAGGCAGAGAGGGAATCTCAAGCAGATTCCACACTGAGCACAGAGCCTGAAAGGGGGCTCAGTATCACTACCCTGAGATTATGACCTGAGTCAAAATCAAGAGTCAGACACTTAACCAAGAGCTCCACCCCAGAGCTCCTGATTCAACATACTTGAACATATAAAGGGTAATCTATCTTCCATCACATAGCTGAAATTGCTTCATCATTTTCCTACTATACTGCTGTAAAACATCTGGGCTATTTCTTTTCTTTGGCTTTTCATTAATATAAGTAGTACTATAAAAGTCTTTATACAACTTTACTTTTTTCCTCCTTTGGAGTATGTATGCCAAAAGAGAAATACTAAATTGATTAATACTAACTGAAGAGTTTTGCAATTTCTGCTAAATACTACAAGAATGCTACCTAGATAACTGTACGTATAACTTGTCTTTAAGTGATAACAATTACATCTATACTGTATTTTGTCCTATATATCTCATCAATGATGGAAACTTGTCAGGTTTAGTATTATAAATAGTAGGGGGAAGGATGGAAGGAACTCCATAATTAGAAAAAGGTAAGAGTCAGTGATAGAAAAAAATTATACTTTTTATTTTCAAGGTTAAAATTATTAACGAAAAAACAAGCTTCTTGGTTTCTCTTCAAACATGGTAGATTGATAACATTCATCAACTGTCTCTTCTTCCTGAAATCCCACTAAATGAAAGTGGAGGAATAAAAAAGGAGAAAACAAGGCAAAGACAATGGGTGGAGAGACAACAATGTGAACAATTCAAAACATTTTCTGAAAGTGTTATGCTGTTGGAGAAGTGATTAACTGACATAGTTGAGAGGCCTCCTCCGGCAGTCTGCAGAGGAGAAAGGGGAATTTCTACAAAAAGCAGTCAGATTTGTTCTCAATAACCAGAAAGAGAGGATTAAACACAAGGCAAGACACAGACTTCTAACAATTCTTAAAAAGTTGGTATACAGATCCCTTAGACACCTTAGGTTATTTTTCTCCATTCCTCTGATTACCATTCTTCTGGAAGGAGATCTTGAGATTCTAGAATCAGGAAAAACAGGCTGGGGGTAGTAGCCCCTATAATTCTAAGGGAAAATTATTTCCAACCTAGAATTTTATACCAAGTCAAATTAATTAGTATTTGAGTGTAAAGCTAGAACAGAAAGATTTTCAAACAAGCTAGGCCTCATAAGATTTATCTTCCATGCACACTTTCTTAAGAAGCTACTGGAAAATGATGCGCTACAGGAGAGATAGGAAGTGAAATAAGAAAGAATTGTGGGGCATAAATAAGGTGTACAACACAGGTGAAGAGAATACCCACAATTATAGTAAAAGAATAAGAACTAAACTGAAGGAGACTGTAACCAGGACCAACTGCAAAGGATGATGGAAGACTCCAGAAAGGATACCTTCATGGGAAAGAAAATGCAACTGACAGTTCTGAATATTTTGGAATTCACAAAGCAGTTTTATGACAGAAATGTAAAAGTATTTGGGAAAAAAACTACTGATAGGCAGGAGTGAAAAAACTCTAACAAAGTAGAAATACTAAGTACAATTCCTCCCCATTAGCCTAATCCTGGCTTCTACAACTCCATCAGCAAACCGGAAGAGGAAGCCTTAGAAGTCTGTATACACTCTGGATAAAATGGCTCCTGTATCAACCTCTATATTTCATCGGCAGAAATGAAGGGTGAATCCTGTAAATGCCAGATCAAATGCTCTCTTGTCTTTATTACATCCACAACTCCCGAATAGCTAAAATGATGAGAGGGATCCCAAAATTGCCATGCACCTGAACAGGACTCTGCAAAATCTCAATCTCAGCAAAATCTCAATCTCAATTCATAGCCTCACCACTACCATATGCCTTGAGACATCCAGAATGTTATTATGACCTTTTTCCTTATTTATCTTAGACACCACACAAAGGCCAACACTAGGTCTTCCCTCATCCCCCAGACACCTGTTCCTACAGAAGTTTATCCTCTTTCCCTGATCCATATCTCCCCTACTCAAACCTCTACCCTACCTCAGCGACATTCCCATGGTCACATATTAGATTGTGACATGACCAAAACTTCAACATCTCCAGAGATTGAACATCAAGCATCCAAATCTCCAAGCACCTCCTATCTTTTCTTCTATTTTTATTTTTTCCTTCTATTTTTAATATCTTCACTCTAAAAACTATTTTTACCCTAAAAGTACTTTTAAATCACCCACTCATACATTCATTTTCCACTTTACCCAGCTCAGATTCCATGGTCTGTCATTATAAACACTCCTTTGCCCTGTCTTCTGGTGTCATAGCAAAACACCAATTCTAATTCAATCCCACATTTGATCAACTGCCCTTGAACCCATACAGCTCAAGAAAAACACAATCATGCTGACTAGTCTTTTTTTTTAATAAATTAATTTTTATTGGTGTTCAATTTACCAACATACAGAATAACACCCAGTGCTCATCCCGTCAAGTGTCCCCCTCAGTGCCCGTCACCCATTCACCCCCACCCCCCGCCCTCCTCCCCCTCCACCACCCCTAGTTCATTTCCCAGAGTTAGGAGTCTTTATGTTCTGTCTCCCTTTCTGATATTTCCCACACATTTCTTCTCCCTTCCCTTATATTCCCTTTCACTATTATTCATATTCCCCAAATGAATGAGAACATACACTGTTTGTCCTTCTCCGATTGACTTACTTCACTCCATGCTGACTAGTCTTAATTTCATGAGCCTCAAGTGAACTGCAGGGAAGTCACACACTTCCCTAGTCCATCCCTCCCAAATCTTCTAAATGGCTATTTTGCTCCATCTCTCTCTTTAAATCCCGTATCCTCACCATAACTGACCACCTTGCTTCTATTCCATTGAAAAACTGAAAGCAGGGCAGCCCTGGTGGTGCAGCGGTTTAGCGTCGCCTGCAGTCCAGGGCATGATCCTGGAGACCCTGGATCGAGTCCCACGTCAGGCTCTCTGTAGATTGTATGATGCCTGCTTCTCCCTCTGCCTGTGTCTCTGCCTCTCTCTCTCTGTCTCTATGAATAAATAAATAAAATCTTAAAAAAAAAAACCTGAAAGCAATCAGGAGATAACTCACACCCAACTATCACCTGCCTACATGTGTGCCCATATGTTCCACCCTCCCTATTACTGTGGATGAGCTGTCTACGCTCCAAACAAAACGTACTCCTCATCCCTCCACACTATCTCTGCTACCACTACCTTGGTCCAAGCCAGCACATCTCAACCGAATTTATTTTAACAGCCTAACTACTCTGCCTGCTTCTACTCTTGCCCAGGCCCATAAGTCTAATCTTAACACAGCAGTGAAAATGATTCTTTTAAAATTTAACTAGTAAAACTAAATTTTAATTCACTTAAATTTAAAATGTCACTCTTCTGTTGAAACCCTCCACTGGCTTACCTCAGAATAAAAGCTAAGTCCATAAATTGGTCTGCAGTGAAAATCTGCCCTTCCTCCCCATCATTCTGATTCTGTCTGACTAGTCTCTTCCTCACTCCATTCCAGCCACACTAGTCTTGTTTTTCTGGAACGCACTGGGATGTTTCCCCCTGAAGATGTGCATTTACTATTCTCTTTGTCTGGAATGCTTCCTCGGATACCTGAATGGCTTGTTCTCTCATCCCCTTCAGGTCTCCCCTCAAATTTTTCCAGATCTCTTGACCATCCTACTTTTTAAATTCCAGTATAATTAACATACAGTGTAATATTAGTTTCAGGTGTACCATATAGTGAATTCAACAGTTCTACACAACACCTGGTGCTTATCATGACAAGTGCACTCCTAAATCCCCATCACCTATTTTACCCATCCCTCCACTCTCCTCCCTGTGGTAACCATCAAGTTCTTCATAGTTAAGAGTCTGTCACTTGGTTTACTTTTTTTTTTCCCCTTTGCTCATGTATTTTGTTTCTTAAATGCCACATATGAATGAAACCATATAGTATTTGTCTTTCTCTGACTTATTTTGCTTTGCATTATACTCTCTAGCTCCAACCATGTCATTGCAAATGGCAAGATTTGGTTCTTTTTTATGGCTGAGTAATACTTCATTGTGTGTACATACCACATCTTCTTTATCTTTTTTATTTTTTTTAAAGATTTTATTTATTTATTCTTAGAGAGAGAGAGAGAGAGAGAGAGAGAGGCAGAGACACAGGCAGAGAGAGAAGCAGGCTCCATGGAGGGAGCCTGACGTGGGACTCGATCCCGGCTCTCCGGGATCACACCCTGGGCTGAAGGCGGTGCTAAACTGCTGAGCCACCCAGGCTGCCCACATCTTCTTTATCTATTCATCTATCAACGGACACTTGCACTGCTTCCATGATTTGGCTATTATAATGTTGCTATAGAATTGAGATGCATGTATATCTCTTAACTAGTATTTCTGCTTTTTATGGGTAAATACCCAGTAGTGCAATTATTAGATCAGTAGTCCTACACAAGAAACAGGTGTACGACGTGGAGAAAAAGGAAAAGTCCTGAACTGTTGGTAGAAATACAAGCTAGTGTGGCTACTCTGGAAAAAAGGATGAAAGTTCCCTAAATAAATAAATAATAAATAAAAAATTTGACTGTCCTACTTTAAAATTTAAACCCCCTCCGAAAATAATAATAAAATAAAATAAAATTAACAACCCTACCTCCCCAGTTTTATTTTGCTCCGTAATTCTTTTTTTTTTTTAAAGATTTTATTTATTTATTCATGAGAGACACAGAGGCAGAGACACAGACAGAGGGAGAAGCAGACTCCATGCAGGGAGCCGGATGTGGGACTCGATTCCAGGTCTCCCGAATCACGCCTGGGCCAAAGGCGGCTCTAAGCCGCTGAGCCACCCAGGCTGCCCTTGCTCCGTAATTCTCAACACCAAAATACCATCTGTGTTATTGTTTATATTATCTTTTTCCCGTCACCAGAATATAAATTTCATGAGTCGGTAACTTTCTGCCTGGTTGTTCATTGCTGTATTCCCAGTACATGGAACCATATCTGGTACACTTATTTGGTTGAAATAAACAGTGTTGCCTTCTATTAACTAATCCAAGGACAGTCTCATTTAAAGATCATCAAAAATTCCAGCTCTGGAGCCATTAAACGTTTAGTTTCTCAGAAAATAAGATACTGGGGACGCGTGGGTGGCTGAAAGGTTCAGCCTCTGCCTTCCGCCCAGGGCATGATCCTGGAGTCCCGGGATCGAGTCCCGCGTCGGGCTCCCTGCATGGAGCCTGCTTCTCCCTCTGCCCATGTCTCTGCCTCTCTCTCTGTCTCTCATGAATAAACAAAATCTTAAAAAAAAAAAACAAAACAAGATACCGGAGGCTCCGGATTGTGTAGTTGCAACATTCCAACCTAATCCGTTTACCAGCTCTGAGAAGAACACTTAAGAAGGCGCCCGGTCACCATCAGTGATGCTTTGGCCTGTTCAGCTGCTTTACAGCTCTTTCCACAAAAACACCCGCTTGTTTCGCAGACGGGTTAAGAAACGACTGCTCACCTACCAGCTCCTTTCTTTCTCAGAATCACCCTCTGAGGCTGACAGAGGCAAGCAGAGAAAAAAAGGCTAGAAGGAGGTTCAGAGCTGAGGCAGTCGCCACGTCAAGCTCACAAGCTCGCGCACTAACGCACGGCAAGGCTCGCTCCACCGCTCCATTAGCTTCTGAGGCTCCGTGAAGAGCACCCATCTGGGCCTTAAGGACTTTGGATTTCAATAACAACAGATGGAAAGTCGGATGGAAAGGCAGGAGCCGGAAAAAAAAAAAAAAAGCTGGGGGAAATCTCAGGCAAAGGACAAAGGAATCAAAGCATCCTCAAATTTCCTCGCAGACATACTGGAAAATGGAATTTGGGTTTGGCGTCGTTATTGCCAAAAAGCCCAAAAAGTACTTCTCGGGACGCCTGGGTGACTCAGTGGTTTAGCGACTGCCTTCAGCCCAGGGCGTGACCCTGGAGTCCCAAGATCGAGTCCCGCGTCGGGCTCCCTGCGTGCAGCCTGCTTCTCCCTCTGCCTGTGTCTCTGCCTCTCTCTCTCTCTCTCTCCCTGTGTCTCATGAATAAATAAATAAAATCTTAAAAAAAAAAAAAGTACTTCTCGCGGAGGCTGTAGCAGAGGCGAGGCAATTCCGGTGGGGGGGAGGCAGGACCTAAGAACGCGGGCAGCCGCGCGCCCTGCCACCTCGAGACGCCGGAGGGGTCTTCGAGCAGCGGGCGCCGCTCAACCCCCAGGGCTGCGCGCGCGCATGCGCACCCGCGGGGCGTCCCTGGCTCCGGAGCAGCAGCCCCTGCGCCAAGCGGGAACGGGAACCCACCCCCCTCGGGCCCGCCCCCCTGCGGCCCGCTGAGCGCAGAGCGACGTGCAGACGGGAAGCACACAGGCCGGGGCGGCGGCTAGAGCCCCCGAGGCCGAGACGGCGGTTACCGGGTAGAGGTAGAGCACCGCTGCCACCAACGCCAGCAGGAAGGTAACGGCGAAGATTGCAAAATCCAACATGGTTCTTCCTGCCGGGAGCCACGTCTCGGATCCGACACTCGGGCAGCAGCGCCTCGGCCTGGCTCGCTCTGCGGAATGGGGCGAGTGGGCGGAGGCGCCCGGGGCGACCTGCGAGCCGTAGGGCCGCCGGGGGGGCGGGGCCGGGAGGGGCGGGGCGGGCGGGGAGAGCAATGGGCCGCGGGGGGCGGGGCCTGAAGGGGGCGGGCGGGGAGAGCAATGGAGCGCCGGGGAAGAGGGGGCGAGGCGGGCGGGGAGAGCGATGGGCCGCGGGGGGCGGGCCTGGAGGGGGCGGACGGGTAGAGCAATGGGCCGCGGGGGACGGGGCCTGGAGGGGGCGGGCGGGGAGAGCAATGGAGCGCTGGGGAAGAGGGGGCGGGGCGGGCGGGGAGAGCGATGGGCCGCGGGGGGCGGGGCCTGGAGGGGGCGGACGGGTAGAGCAATGGGCCGCGGGGGACGGGGCCTGGAGGGGCGGACGGGGAGAGCAATGGAGCGCTGGGGAAGAGGGGGCGGGGCGGGCGGGGAGAGCGATGGGCCGCGGGGGGCGGGGCCTGGAGGGGGCGGACGGGTAGAGCAATGGGCCGCGGGGGACGGGGCCTGGAGGGGGCGGGCGGGGAGAGCAATGGAGCGCTGGGGAAGAGGGGGCGGGGCGGGCGGGGAGAGCGATGGGCCGCGGGGGGCGGGGCCTGGAGGGGGCGGACGGGGAGAGCAATGGGTGGCCGGGGGGCGGGGCCGGGAGGGGGCGGGCGGGGAGAGCAATTGGCCGCGGGGGGGTCGGGGCCGGGAGGGTGCGGGCGATGGAGCGCCGGGAGAAAGGGCGGGGCGGGCGGGGAGAGCGATGGAGCGCCTGGGGAGAAGGGGCGGGGCGGGCGGGGAGAGCGATGGAGCGCCGGGAGAAGGGGCGGGGCGGGCGGGGAGAGCGATGGAGCGCCTGGGGCGAGGGGGCGGGGCGGACGGGGAGAGCAATGGGTCGCCGGGGGGCGGGGGCGGGGAGAGCAATGGGCCGCGGGGGGGCGGGACCTGGAAGGGGGGGTTGAGCAATGGGCCGCCGTGGGGCGGGGCCGGGAGGGGGCGGGCGGGGAGAGCAATGGAGCGCCGGGGGGCGGGGCCGGGAGGGGGCGGGAAGAGCAACGGGCCGCCAGCGGGAGGGGGCGGGGCCGGGAGGGGGAGGGGCCTGGACGGGGCGGGGAGAGCAATGGAGCCGAGCGCTTGCGGCGGGGCTGCGGCCACACCCCAGGGCGGAGGTGGCGGAGGACGGAAAGCGGCGTCGGGGCTTCTACGACACGTTAGGAGTTACCATCGCTCTGCCCCGACCAACACGTGTCCCCGGGGGATTTAAGATGAAAACCCGTAAACCGGAGAGCCGCGCGCTGTGGTCCCCGGAACGAGCGCAGCTCCCGCGGCGGCGGAGAGCTTGCTAGGCACGCCGAGTCCTCTGCGCAGGCGCAGACCTGCAGGGCCGAGCCTCGGGGCCCGAGAGGGTCGCCCTCGTGTGGCTTCAGCGCCGTTTCCCGCGCCGAGAACTGACCCAGGCTCGCCTGCACCGCGAGGCGCCCCACTGCCAAGCGCCGTCCGAGTCGCCTTGTTCCGCAAAAGAGTTTATAGGAAGTGCTGATACATGTGATCCGTGACCCTTCGTCCTGGGTGAAGGCAGCGAATTGCTCAGTGATGGGGGACGTCCCTTAGCGTCCGTAACCTCGAATTTTCTAAGTCGAACTTCCAAGTGCTTCGTGGGAAACAACGGAAATGATTCCGCGCAGAGTCGCCTGCGGGAACAAATCGGGTAATTTATGAGAAGTACTTAGAGCTCCTGGCAGAAGGCTCCTTAGTATTGAGCTCTAGTTGTTCTGAGCATAAAAATACACCAGGATCCGTCTCCTGTTTCGCGGGACTCGAGTTTTGATATCAGTAACGCAAGACAAATATTTACGGGCGCTCCGTCTATTGAACGCCTCCTGAAAGTATAGATTTTATACTTTTAACGGTATAAAATCTGTCTCTCACACACAAAGGCAACAATTAGGTAAGAGAAATCTTTTGAGATTGCATTTTAGAACATCTGTGATAAACGACAGTCCTGTTTTTTTTTAAGGTTTTATTTATTTATTCATGAGAGAGAGAAGCAGAGGGAGAAGCAGGCTCCATGCAGGGAGCCCGACGTGGGACTCGATCCCGGGACCCCAGGGTCACGCCCTGGGCCGAAGGCGGCGCTAACCGTTGGGCTACCCGGGCCGCCCGACAAACGACGGTCCTTAAACATGTGGCCTATCTCCTTAAAAGTGCCTACTCTTTTGGCGTCTATAGCAAATGTAGCAAAATGTTGCTTCGTCTGGCAGAAATTATACTTTTAACTCTGTGTTTCGAACTTTTTTTTTTTAAATATCTTCTTTGGAATATTAAAGACATTTCCCATGTAAATCATATTTCATATAGGTTTTCAAAACAGTAAACGTCAGATTTTTTAAATGCCTAAAATATGACAGTAACACTAGACACTAATATTCAGAGGTATCTGGACTCCCCTTTAGGTTCTAAATTGACCTTTATAAAGCCACAGACCTTCTGAACTTTTGAGGGTCTGTGAAAAGAGAGAAAGAGGACAGAAGTTGAGCAGGACACAATATTTACAAAAATATCAAGATGCGTCATTGTTATAGCAACATTAATTTTTTGCAGTCCTTTTGAGAGACCAAAAATCATATAAAAATGATTAGCTAGGGGGATCCCTGGGTGGCGCAGTGGTTTAGCGCCTGCCTTTGGCCCAGGGCGCGATCCTGGAGACCCGGGATCGAATCCCACATCGGGCTCCCGGTGCATGGAGCCTGCTTCTCCCTCTCCCTCTCTCTCTCTCTCTATGACTATCATAAATAAATAAATTAAAAATTTTAAAAAAATTTAAAAAAAATGATTAGCTAGGATTATATATGTATACAACTTACTGTGCTGCTTTTATGATCTGTCACCTCACCTTCACATCTCGTTTAGGTCCTCTTTCCATTTTACTGAAAAGAAATAATTAGAAATGGAAACATCTTTTTTGCTGATTGTTCTTCATTCTTACACCCTTCCCACATATCCTCAGATATGTATCATCCTGTCATTCTCTGCCCTGTATTGTGACTGTTGGAGCTAATTCCTACAGACTACACCACCTAGGCTTCTTTATAAACTTGCCTCCTATTGGGTTCCACCAATAGGAAACGTTGGTATGCTCAGGCTGAGAAGTCAGCCTCACTCAGCTCTAAGCTATGTTATCCCACAGGCTCCATATCCCTTTCTACCTACAGCTTCTGAGGTAGTCTCCTCCCATGATAATCCAGCCTTCTCTGAGCAACAGTAATAATATTATTATTATTTTCTCCCCTTCAGGTCTAGGAGTGCTAATGGTTTCCCCTGCTGCTGGTCTCTGGATATTTCAGCATCCCTTGTTGATCTCTTAACCCTGCTCATACCTCTGTGTATAGTTCCTTCATAACAATCTAGGTTAAATACTATTTTCAAAACAAGTATGGCCCCTTGAAACAAGATGGAATTCTGGACCAGGTTAAACACAGATTTGACAGCCTCATAAATGACATCTGTCCTTGATTGTGCAATGCAATGGCAACAAGATTATTCAGATTATCACTGATGATGGCATGGGATGGAATGCCAAGTAGGGAACAAAACTTTTGTTGGTTGGGTAACTCTTTTTTTTTTAATTTTTATTTATTTATGATAGTCACACAGAGAGAGAGAGGCAGAGACAAAGGCAGAGGGAGAAGCAGGCTCCATGCACCGGGAGCCCAATGTGGGATTCGATCCCGGGTCTCCAGGATCGCGCCCTGGGCCAAAGGCAGGCGCTAAACCACTGCGCCACCCAGGGATCCCTGGTTGGGTAACTCTTGATGACAACAGTGAGGACTACAAAAGATTGTGAAGTGGATGGCTATTTCTTACTGCGTTAAAGATCTTACAAAGGGGGAAAAAATAAGCTTAAAGCTGTGAATTCTCAAAATAAGGTAGAGATGAAGAACCAGAAACCTTCTATGGCAGTCTCAAAAGGATTCCTTATCTTGTGCAGCTGCAGGACTGAAATGACTATTAGTCCCCAAAACTTAATTATGCAGGTTATAGAGTTTCAATGCCTAGCTAAAAGCATAGCCTTGCCAAGTCTCTTATTCTAAAGTTAGAGCACTGTTTGAAAAGGAATAAAACAGATCAAGACCAAGACCTTTGGTCAGTGCAAGACAAAGCCCAAATCCCAAGGCCCTCTGAACCTTGCTACCTTTCCTCTGCGGAGAAAGCTACCTTCTCTCATATAAAAGTCATTCGGAAATTTCTCCTGGGTCAGTTATATCACAAGGGACTGCCTATTATCCTGAAGAAGAACTCCTGTTTCCCCTCATCATCTCCAGGCCCATAAAGAGAGTTAAACTCCTCATGGCCCATGAAGAGAAATAACTGTTCAGTTCCTAGAGGAAATAACCTAACGGCATTTCGAGAAAAAGAGGCTGGTGATAAAGCAACCCCAGCAGAATGGAGGAATTCATCACTGACATTTTTACAATTGCCAGCACATATTGATAATAAAAAGCAGAAGACATTTAGTTGGTTTATTATTGTTTTAAAATTCTCTATACACATTACTTGGCTTCAGCAGCACACATACTAAAATTGGAACGATACAGAGAAGATTAACATGGCCCATGAGCAAGGATGACACTCAAATTCGTAAAGTGTTCCATATTTTAAAAAATAATAAAATTTTCTACACACAGGACACCCTTTTTTGTCTGAACCTGGGGCAGAACAGTGGCATATATATCAAACAAACAGTAAGATCTTCTTAATTTGTGTCAAAAGGCCTGGGTGGTTCAGTTGGTTAAGCATCTGCCTTTGGCTCAGGTCATGATCCCAGGGTCCTGGCATCAGCTCCCTGCCTTCCTTCCTCCTCTCTCTCCTGCTCACCTTACTTCTGCTCTGTCAAGTAAATAAATAAAATCTTAAAAAAATTTTTTTTGAATTAGAACCTAGGAAACGTGCAGGGTGGATTTTAGGTATATCTGTTTAAAAAGTATAAAACAGGGGCGTCTGGCTGGCTCAATCAGAAGAGCATGCAACTCTTGATCTTGGG